CTTATTTCTACTACTTTCAGCAAGGAGTGCTCCAGTATTAAATACAAAAATCACAGACATGTTTGGGTTAGCTAACCGTGGGAACTTCCAAAACAGGATGTTCAGTGTGGGTAAAACTCAAGGTCAGTTTTACCAACTCAAACATGACCACCTAGCAAACTAGTTATCTTCAACCATAACAAGGGATTAAAATGTCTAGCACGGTAAGTGCTGAGCCAAGTTCAAGCACACACTAAAAATAAATGATCAAAACTATAGATTCATCAAAATAGCACGTAGGGGCGAAAAGGCGAGACTTAATAAAACAAAAGGTAAACCTAAAAATGCTTGAAATATCGAGCCTTGAAAACGCTCTACAACACAATAAGAGTATTTTTCAAGTCTAATATTGTAGAGAAATGTTTTTGACAAAGCTACATTGCAGAAAGTAAGTCTGTTTTGGTGAGGATATGTCCAGACTATCTATTTTATGGAATATATTTCGTCCAAGACAAAAGGAAAAACGAATACGAAAAAGAAGGGGTGCCGGTAAATTGATTTGACAAAGCGAAAAAGAGTCTAATAATTGAACTCATGGAAATATTTAATCTTGGATAGAAAAACAGCACAAATCTTTGTATTCCACGGAAGACATTTCTTTCCCCTCGAAATATGTTATTCAATTTTGCCTCATTCATTAACGAATTTTGGCATCTGTTGGTGTTATGGAAATTTCTTAATATTTAACTTTTCTGGGTAAAGATGACCAAACATCAATCTCACATGATAAGATGAGAGACCTGTCTCTTGTTCACTTTGGCCAAATATTATTCATTTACTTTGAGCTTTGTTGAAACCAGATAGGGATAGCTACTTTTGATCCCAATCTGCTATAACGGATCTGCCCTTGACACTATCATTAGAAATATTCACCTTTTGAATAGAAAACTTTTGAACAGAAGTTCTGCAAAATGGTTCTTTTCATCCAGTTTTTTTCAAACACGAACAGCAACTGATAGCATGTGTAAAAAAAAAAAAAACAATCGAGATTTCCCAAATCCATTTTTCGCACAGCATATTGCAGAAACAGGTTATTTAGTTTCTATGATATTTTCTCGTTTACGCTGAAATTTACTTGCTTTTCGATACATCCCAACGTAGAGAGTATGCTTATTTTTTATAACTCATTTGCTATAGAAACGGTTTTATTACATTGAAGAAAGCAATAAGCAGGGAAATATACTCCCACGGCATTCAAGGCAGTTCGGGTTTGGGAACTTGAGTGGGAGTGAAGTACCTTATGAAGTGATATTGTAAAAAGTATTTACACAGTTATCACTCCAAGGGGTTGATGGGTTAAGAAATATGTCAAAGACTCCCGTTGAAGTGAAAGAAGAACTGAACCTAATGCTTGCTGACTTCTCTCGCTCTTCTTGTACTTTTGAAGTATGTTCAACATATTGTAAGCTTTTAACGTTTTGCTAACTCTTCCCAGACGGTGCACAGTATAAGTCGTGTTTACGGTTCAATAACAATGAGGCATCTATAGTCTTCGATAATTTATGCGGTAAAATAATTTCAAGATGTGTAACTAGGAATCATGAAGATCAATTTAGCGGTTGGTAATCCCATTAAAAATCAGTCCAGTTTTTAAAGACTACTAAATCTCAGTCAATGGGCGTATAAATGTGGAAAAATATAATTAAAAAGAGTATGACACTTCCTTCAAATTACAAATAGAAGATTTTTCTGGTAATAATCTTTACTCTCGCACTGCAAAGAGTCACAATTTCCCTTACCTATATCACACTTTTACTCTTCTTCTAAAGGCAAAAAAATCACTGTTTTAGGTGATGGTCTTAAATTTTAACCACCAGTCATAAAAATATTTAACGTTAAACATTTTTCTGTTAAACAAAACTGAAAGAAGTTACATAACTGTGAGCCGTCACCCCTTTGAGCCCCTCTTAATCGGGGGATAACCGTGAAAAGATACAATCTAAAGAAAGACCACAACACGCGCTGCGAAATACAAATAAGACAATTTTTTCTAGTATTCTCTACTCACGCACTGTGGTGAATCTTAAATATCCTTAACTATATTTCTCGTTTAACTTTCTTCTAAAGGCAAAATTTTCTGCCTTAATGGAATAGTTGCATATTTATACAAAAACAAGAACTCTCTGGTAGCAGTTGTTCAAACAAAGTATGTATGATATGGTGACAAAGTGTCTAAGATATCTATCCAACTTTTAAGCTGCCATCCTCGAAATTACATTGAAATCAAATTTCCTTGTACTTTAGCTGTTAAACCAAAAAAATTAAAGAGCGAAACGCATTCGAAAGAAGATGGGGTTCTTTGATACCTACCAGTTTTAAGTTTCTCTGTAGAGTGGCTCTGCTAATATTTGATTTTACTGAGCTTCGACGGGCAAATAGATATAAAAATGCTAGACGCTGTAAGGAGAAAAAGCTCAGAAGTACAGCTGTTTGAGAGGAGGTTTCTTTTTTTTTAAAAAAAACAATTGCGTACGACCATTTTCGATCAATCTGCTCGGTTTGCTATGGTTGCTTGGAAACGTGTAACACCATCTTAGTTTGTCATTGTTATTGTGCATTGATACTTTTCTAACGAGAATATTTGGAAGCTGATTATTTATCCCTTCTTTTGTCCAGGATTTCTTTTGCTAGCCGCCTTTATTAGACCTGTACTCACCAGTAAATTTGATTGGCTACTGCGTCGTGAAATATCCCCTTAAAGTGAGAAGTGGTGTGCGCTTTCGATTCATAATGAGGAGAAAATCATTAACTGTTCAGTTAACATGGATGTCTGGTATAACGTTTATTAAATACGAGATTCCTAATCAGTTTCTTTGCGCATATACAGGGACATTGTAACACGACAAAATCTCGTGATTTCAGTCTGGCGATTGAATGGGCTAAGAATCCTAAGTTAGTCAATCTTATCTTCAGCTAAAATCAAATCTCATTAGTAGACTCTAACATCAGTTTACATATTCTCCATAATGTTCTCTATACATTTCCTAAGATGCTGACCAGGAGAACTTGTTTAACTATTAATAATAATAATAATTATAATAGTTAGTTAGCTTAGAACTCTCGCACATGCCCGCCAGCCAGCTACTTAAGGACTCATATAGGTTTTTATGATGTTTAATTTATTTAGATTATTTATTTTATGTGACTTTTCCTTTTGTAGTAGATTAGCAATTTCATGTAATTTTAGTATGTAAATAAGACTTAGGCTAGCCACGGTCAACGCCTTGCCTGAGTGAGTAGGATTGGCACCCAGATGTGTATATACTGCCATAATAGCAATAAAAATAATAATTTATCTACTTATATTGCGCGTGTTACATATGCAGATGCTTACACGTGCATTACAGCGTAATAAACTTACAGTACAGTCTTTACAATCATTACAATCTTTACAATCCCGATTATTGAAAGTATAGTATTTACAATCTTAACAATCTTTCTGATCATTAAAATCTCAACAAACATGATCTTATTATAACTATGGTATTTATAATCATTACAATCTTTATAATCATTAAAATCTTAACTATCATGATATTATTGGACCGATGGTCTTTAAAGCAGACAGGCTTTCCTAAACAGGTGAGTTTTGAGAACATTTTAAGAACTTTTTAAGTTTTTGATCATTTCCTTTATTCTCGTGACCGTAATTGTGATCCGAGCGTAATATTGTAAGGAGAAATTAGATGCTGATCACTCCTAGGGGTCAAAGGTTCAAAGGCTCTGTCCACACTTATCAATTCAGGCGTGTAATATTTCCTTTCATGCGAGTTTTGAGGTGGCTTACAGATCGTTTATCAGACAAAAATCGAGAACGAGTTGTGTTACCGTAATGGATATGGAATAATTAACCGACTGCTGCAAACCAAGTGCTGATTTTTTAAAAACAATCACCTGAACAGTTTTTCTGTCTTAAATATAACATGTGGTAATTATACAACCTACCCTGACCCGTCGTTGCTTTCCATCTGCTTAAGTGGTACCGCTTAATTTCAGAATCCGCTTTACCGCTTGTCGTATGTCAGATTGACGCCAAAAATACATGAAGGGGTTGAGGGTAGAATTGAGAAAAACAATTGTACTAGGGACTGAGTAATACTTAGCGAAGCCTTTACGTATGAAAAGACCAGCGACAACTGTCGCAAAATAGGGAAGGTAACAAACTAGTAAAAGACAATAGAAATAAAATGTGTTCAAGGCAGATCTTCTGAGTTGTTTGAAGCGCATCCCGTTGTCTGCATTGACTGACACGGCTTGCATCTGGGAGTGAATTTGTGCCTGATGTCGAATAACTATTTTATAAACTTCAAAGTACGCATAGAAGTTGGAAAAAAGACAAAAAATAATGGTAAAAGCAAGGTATGGATACAGAACTGTGTCTTGCCACACTTTCGTACTGGAGAAGATGCCAGACACCATCCATATCACAGCAATTGCAAGGGCTGTTTTGTTCATCGTGACAAGACTGTAGTACCGTAGGTGAAATTTGAGAGCAATCATTCTATCCAGGCTAATGAATGTGACGGTGAAGAAGGACACACCACATAGACAGTAGCCTACGACGTTGTATAATGGCATAGTAATGGGATAGAATCTATCAAAGGTAACCACCAGCTTCCTTAAGGCGTGGAACATGTACAGGGGCTGGATCAGTAATCCAACTGCTAAGTCGGAGATAGCGAGGTTGCACAATAGCATGGAGGAAGGAGTATGCAAAGAGGTTGTTTTCCAGATGGCGAGTAAAACCACGCTATTTGTAACAACTGTCAGAAGACTGAGAGGAGCGTTTAGTACAATCAATGCAATGTTCCAGGCGGGAATGCTGTTATCACTCGGTTGGTCCGTATGATTGGACCTTAAACTTGTATTCATGTTCTTTCCCACACGCTCATAAAGTAGCGAAACTCAAGCGCTCATCGCCACGCCGCGAGGATCGTTTTAATAATGCGACCTTAGGACTTTGGACTGAGTACTTTATAGAATTGTTTCTCAAAGTGCTGCTGAATATTAGTCAAGAGATTAATCTTATTGTTCTCTCTGCAATCAGTTTTAATTAAACCGGAAACTTCTTAGGTGGTTTATATTTGACATTGTGATTGGGACAAATTGTAACAAATTGTAATATCAAAATTGTAATATCCAAAACGGAAATGCTGTTGTCTTTTGATCAGTCCGTAAAATTGTACCGGCTTAGGCTTGCATTCCTGTCCATAATGTTGTTCTTCACGCTCATAAAGTGACGAAACTCAAGCACTTATCGCCACGCCGCGAGGGTCGCTTTAATAATGCGACTTTTAGAACTTTGGACTAAGCACTTGATGGGATTTTCTCTTAAATGTGATATCAGTCGAGACATTGATCATGTTGCTCCCCTTGTAATAAGTTTTAATTAAACCTGAAAATCCTCTGGCGGTTCACTTGAAATTATTATTGGGACTCTTATTATAAAAAATAGTAATAACAAGATCTCCTGGGGTTACTCTAAACAACGGACTGCACATAGAGGATCTGCAGTGCTGGGATAGATTTTTTCAGACCGGCATTATTTCAAAGAGAGGGGATTTCTCTAGTCGATTTAGATACATGTAGGTTAAGAAAACTGTCTTTCAGATGTTAAAGATAGGGGAAGTTTATAAACAAGTGAATCTCTGGTTTAGCGTCTTTTTCATAAGTCCCTGTCTGTAAGATTAGTAACATGCGTTCAGATATGAAATTTGTTTGCGTTCTTCCTGCTCCACTTTCCGCAGAAAGCTATTTATTATTAACAATTCGTCGCATGGACCGAAATAATATGTTGTGACTATCAGAACTGTACTAGTTCCGAAGTTGAAGAGGGTTATTTCTTAAAGAAACTTTAATACTGCGTCGTTGGGGGTTATTACGAGGTAATTTTATTGGTTTTATCAACTGAGAGTGATGATGTAAATTGACCATTGCAGCGCCGGAGTTTCAAAAGCTGAAGTTTCGAGCATTACTCTTTCGTCAGACCGAAAGATTCCACCGATTCTACTAATTCTATCAAGCGATACACTTCGACTAAGGTGTAGTGTTGAACAACAGATTTAAGTCCAATGAATGATTCATAGAATCGAATCATACAAAAAAACCTAAAGGGAAGACCTCCAGCAGAGCTTACTAATTGGTAAGAATCGAAACAAACAAAAACCCAAAGTGAAAACCTCCTGCAGAGCTTACTTATTTGCTATGATCATTCTTAGCTTTTCGGGAAAATACTTGAAAGGTTACCGTACCTGTCACAGTTCTAAGTTAAATGAAAATACATTTTTATTCTTAAGAATTTGAAAGAAAAGCGTTAGTTGTTCCGAAACGATGTCGATTTGAAGGCACCTGCCTTCTCTTCTGTGTACGACAGCGGATTCTTTATTGTATGTCCCATTGAAAACAGGGAGAACCAGTCGCATAGATAGGATGGTTCTATTTGATAACCTCTCATTTCTTGAGGAATGATTTCAACGTTATCATTTTTGCATTTAAAGCTCCTGCTGAAACAGAAACATGTCCAATCCAAAGAAAATTGGTGTCTTTCAAGTATCGGGAGATGAGTTTATAGCAAATGGAAGAACTACACTGAGAAAAAACTAAGGGCTAAAACCAATTATTAGTCAAAACTATTACTTATAATTATATGTATTTATTTTAGTTTCTCAACGGAATTAAATAGGCAAAAAGGAAAGTATTTCCATGTTAGATGTTAATGCTGGAGAAGAGAAAAACAGTCATAGTAATAATGAAAATAATAATGTTGAAAATATTGATAATAATGATTGTAAAAACTTCTTTTTTAAGAACGATCTCCGACTAAAACGATTCAAAAATTACGAGCTTTCCACCGCCTGAACTGCAGTCTTCGAAGGGTGAAATATCGAAGACTGCAGATCGTTTCAGCCAGATATCGTTGAACTTCTTAGATAATTTTTTTTACCAAGTTTTTATCCTTGCTGCGGCACTCAATACTTTCAAAGATAATAAAAATAATATCGTGATGATAAATATGGTAAACGATATATATATTTTGGCCAGCTGGCTCATTGATGAGTACAGAGTACAGTAATGATTTTGCTCTTGCAACATAATAGGAAAGTACGATATCGATTGATTAATCTGACCTTGGGTCTTGAGCAAATTTATCAAAGAAGCCTAAAGAATAAGTCCCCTTGAAATTATTGGTTTTCGACTAAGTAAGAGCGGTAAAACACTGAGATTTCATCTTGTTTGGTCCAAAGGTTCGGTGTTCCATACCTCTTAGTGGTAAATAATAATTCATTCAGCATCATTATAAATTTATTCTAGGATAACTTTTGAGCTACCACGTTTTATTATAATCTTTTATGTAAAATTATGGGAACTTCTGCTGGGAAATCTTCGCCAAATCTCTTCCGGACAACTCGTAACTTCACGATTCTCTTCGTAGCCACTGTTTGGGCCGACTAGCGGCCGAATAAACGAATTGCGAACTGGTAGTGATTAGGTCATGTGGCTCAGTAGCACATGGTTGTGGTTTAAGAGTATTTTCGTGTCAGGGACCGTAAATGCTATGCTTGCTGCAGTTTTTGTTTTTTCCCTACCGTTAATTGCACAGAAAATGTAAGTAATAATAATTAATAATAATTAATAATTTATTTACTTATATAGCGCCCTTTAATATTATCGGATGATCAAGTATCAGGTTTATAATTTCCTTCTACACCGATCAGTTCTTAATTCAAGTTTTTCCTTCGTTCAGCTTTTACCGTATGCGTAGATAATTCAAAACAACACAAAATGTCACAAATGGTGGAAATGTTTGTCCTTGGAGGTCGTCGGGCCCGAGGTTGTCAGCAATCATGAGATGATCTTTAGGCGTTTATATTATTCTACAATTAAGCGTCAGAAAATCTCTCTGCAAATTTTCCCCAACAGCCACATCGTTCTCGCTGACTCTAAAGCGGTGACCACTACGTTTTCCCAATTCATTTGATTCTGGGCCTTTATTTTCTGGTCTGTTTAAACAATGCAGGGCCATTGAATCGTTGTAAATTGGACTGCGACTAGGATATCGCCTATTTTGGTTGACCCTCTTCCTCTCATGATCTCCTTTGGACGCTCCGCTGTTCCCATCATGTACTTGAGCTTGGCCTGATCCGTTGCCAAATGTCCTAGTTATCTGGTCTTGAGATGCAACTGCGTCTGTGTCCTCATCCACAACGATTAAATCCTGTTGGGAGGCTGAAAACGGACCAACACAAGGGCTTACTTTTGGAAGAATAGGAGACACTAGGTGAAAATTTTCATCCTCATGTTCACCTTTTGTCTGTCTCATTAAGGCCAGAGTTGAACCTATCAGCCATTTTTACATTCGACTGTTGTGTGAAGCATCAGGAAAATCTCCTGAGACGAAGTTCTTTTATATTTTCCAGGTTTAAAATCTTCTCCTGTGTAGGAGACATGACTGGATCCACCCCTTCTCAATCCTAGTCCAAAAGCACTTGTTGCTTGAAGGAAAGATAACCCACAATGTATATTTTATTGGGAATGACGACTAATTTTTTGGTTGCTGAAGGCATCTCCTCGTCTGTAAATAATCGTAAATTATTTTTCGAAATATCCTCACAGGATGCTTCCTCGTATTTTTTTGTAATTTTCGTGCGGGAATGCATAGAATCATGAAGGACCCCGCCCCTTCTATTCCTCTGGACGTTTTAAGAACCATTTCCGTAAGCGATCTCACGCAATCAACGGAGCCGGGTAATTCTGGTGAAAAACATGAGCACATATGCAGAATATGACCGTTTTAACACAACCGATAAGGATGGAAGTATTTAAAGGGGTTTATCTTCAAAAACCAGGAAGGAATTCAAAGGCCATTGTTTACCTGTGTCGTGCAGTGAAGATTATTCACAATCTCTCCACGCCAATGCTTTCCTTTCGGTCATCATAGGGACAAAAAATAACGTTGTCCACTCGACGACTTAAGCGAAAAAAGCGTTATCTAAGTTTAGTTGGAAACAAAAACGACACTGGTGTACGACACTGGACACTGATGTACGTGTCCAAAGGGTTAGAATGTAGACCACTAAATAAACGTCTTGAAGTGGTTAACTGTCAGCTGTGAAACGAAACTGCATAAAAATTTAGGCGTAGAGGCTGGCAAATTTAAACCGAAAGTTGTGAAAAAGTAAACCGTAAAAATATTTCCTATCCTCGCTGAGTCATTGAAAGTGTCAAAATCTTAAATTAGTATGTGCCTTGTCTTTTAGCCACTGTGGGAAAACAGAAGAATATTCTGTATAAACTCATCAGCAGCTTGATCTGGAATGACCCTCCTTGCTTGACTTTTACTGTAGAGGCGAGTGAGTAAATATGTTTTAGAACACAAAACTTTAATTAGTTCCTTTTTCAAATGATTGAAATTAATTTTTTAACATCTCTGTCAACCGTAATAGAAAGAAACTAACCGTTACCGGTAAAATGGCCAAAATTTTTTAACCGTTAACCGTAAAAGCAATCATCTTTCTAAATTTGCGACATCGAAATTTGAATGTTAAATGGGTGAGTCAACTTCCGTTTTAACTATTAGACTGGGCGCAGCCTCCAAGGCTTCAGTGATTTCTTAAGGTCTTGCACATGATGTGATTCTATGTTTCCCTATTAAAATGTTAAATGGGTGCACTAACTTCCGGTATGGCGACAGTAATTTCTCCGTTTGTTTTCCATAAGGTGATTCTTAGATTCATTATTTGTAGATCCAGTCGATATGCTGACCCAGCGCTATGTTTTTTTAAGGTACAGGTGTGCGGAATGATGCGTATTGCGAACACTCAGAGAGATTTCGATCAGAAATCAAGCATATGACTCGGACCAGGTTGCGCTCCACTCACTTTAATTACAACTCCATAAGATCTATGATGAATTCCTTAAATTCTCAGGATTTTAGTCAGTTGATTTATGTTCATTTTATTCAGTGGTCGGTTTGTCTTAAAAATAGAACTGGAAAAAGAGATAAAACCACAGCAACTTCAGCTTACAATTATGTACAAAGACTGATGATCACTTCACCGAATTCGTCATGAATAATTTTATGAACCTCGACGGCTGGACTCTTACTTGACAGTAAGTTGCACCCTCTACCCCTTTGAAAAGAGAGACTCTCTGAGAGTATTCCTGAACAATACAACAGAATGATCCAGCCATGACTCGGGCCAGGACATTTCGGAGTAATGGAGTCAAGCTTGTCAATCATTAATTCACTTTGTCTCACACACAGTTTGGTATAACATGGCAAAACTACAAGGCAGTGATTTAGGGTTTCCCTGAGTCCTTCTTTATCTTAGTGTGCCACGCAAGGGGAGTGCGTAAGGTCTTTTTCAAAGATGTACGTCTTTGGAGAAGACAAACTAGAGAAACTGTAGAACACTTAGATCAAAGCATAATCACAGCTATATTTTTATTGACAATCAAAAATCAGCGACATTAAGAAAAAACTGGAAATAATGATAACAAAAGTGCGATAGACTCAGTTTTCATCGATCAACAAAATCCCTAGTGAGTGTTTATAGACAGCCCAAACAAAGCGTAAAATCCTAAACCGAAATTAGATGGAATGCATTTGTTTTCTGCTAACATAATTGCATAAACAATGAGAAGAAATTCTTGTAAGTTTTGTCTTCTTCGTCGTAGCATCTATACCCAGTATTCTTAGTGTTTTCTGTTCAACGAGTAATTGTTTTCACTTGGGAAGGTATCACGATCTTCAAAACTAGTGCTGCTGCATTTTCGCCATCGCAACCAGTTATACGTAACGTGCAAAGATTCCGGATAAGGCGCCGTTACACCAGCCTCGCTCACCCTCTAAAATCTAACGGAAGAGAAATAACTAGGGTTAGTAGGTGGAGCAAAAGAAACCCCAATGTTTTCGGTAGAGCGGCTATGTCAGCTATAGGCTGTAAAGGCTTCACATCGCTATAGCTTCACCATTTCAAAATAAACGTTTAAACTAGATTTAAAAATCATATTGCCGGGTATGCAAATGACTTAAGTAATTTGCGATTACAAAAATTCTTTCTCATAGGGTAAGCCTAGGTAAAGCTAGTTTATGAGCTAAGAAGCGCATTCGTTGGAACTTGTTCCGATTTCCTGACAACCCCTTCCACCTCCTTCCTCCCTTGAGGCATTTGGTTGGTTCACCGGTACCCATTTTCATTATTTAACTGTGCTTCGCAAAGTACAAATAACGCCTAAGACGAGTACAAATATCACGCAATATTTGTACTCTAGAAGTATCCGCGAAATTCGCCTGCACTGAATTAACAATTTGGCGTGTTGGATAATAAATTTCTTATTAGACAATTTGTTGTTTAGTATCCCTGAGCATTTTTACTTGTTATTTGTATTTTGACTCGCCCTTCGGCCTCGTCAAAATACGGCGCAACTCGTAAAAATACTCAGCGATATTACACAAAAAAGCGTTTAATAAGATGTATATACTCCTGGGTTGAAGAGGCACCGTGAAAGAAGTGTTCTCACCAAGAACCCAATGCAGTGACCTGGCCCATTTGGCCCTTTTGATCTTAAAGTCCAGCTCGTCAACCATGAGGCCATCTCGCCTCCAATCGTGTCAAAAGGAACCACACAATCATTGTAGTGTCAAAACTGACATTTAGCATAATTATGCACCCTTAGTCAAAAAACGCTGAGTAGTAGCTTTGTTTCTTTTGCCTCCTAACCCTCTGACATAGAGTAACTAGACATAAACATGCTTGGCCCCGCTTTTAGTTGTACGATGATCAGCTACAACAGATTTGACGCTAATGCTGCCTTACCACATGTTGTAGAACATATTCGACTTACCTAGCGCTGTAGCTTCTATCACGATGCCTTCTCGACATCTGGCTCTGCTAGTGTTACTAATCGAATTCACCGAATGGTGAATCATCATTCCTCATATCCAACGCAGGTTTGTGTCTCAGCCAGTCGGTTTTCATGGAGTAAAAAGGGTTAAAACTCCTGGTAAGATGGGCAGAAGCAGCCCTGAACATTTAAGCCTTGCATCACCACGAACCTCCATGTTCGATTTATGGCAGCACAAAGACATCATTCTGTATCACTCAGTTCCATCCTGAATGAAAGATATACCGAAGAAAGTAGTGAGATTATTATTGAGAATGTAACTGGGTTAAGTTGTTCGGTAAGGACGGTAAACCCAAGATCTCTTAGCCTTCAAATCATATTACGAAGCACTGTTCTGAAATATTCCATCATAGTCTACTATTATGACCGTGAAACTGTGAAGATGGGCTATACTGAAATGTGTGGCGATAGCATACGCGTTCTTTAACGCTTTAGGGAAACTAAAATGAACTAAAAGCTAACCACTAAATGTATGAACCTGATTTTTGTTTGTAAACTTGTACAGAGAGTCTTTTAATTTTCCAAATGGGAGGATAAGCTTTCTTCATAAAATCTTTGAAATAGTTTGTTAATCCGTTGGACCATTGATCAAAAAGTTAGGGCTCCACAGCCCTGGCAGAGTCATTATGTTTCGTCTTTGGGCGAGACGCAACATTCTCACAGTGCCCTCTTCACTCAGCATGATAAAGGAGTACCCGCAAACCTTCAGGTAAACCTGACAAAATTCTTGGGTTAACCTTAAATGGACTGGCTTTTTATCCAGGGGAAGCGGCAGTACTGCTAGCTGTTTCATTTTACTAAAACCAGGATAAACTCTAACAGGATAGGCCCTTTGCTCCATTGTTAACTTTACCTTTACCATTTCCTAGAGACTAACTAGTTACCTTGGTCACGAGTTCCCCATGCTGAATGGTAGCGCTTGGAAACAGTTAACAGGTAGATTGCTGTTTAGACGTACGCTTCTGCTTCACATTCCTCTCCTTCCGCTTACCCTTTGTCCTCTTCCTCTCTAAACTTTGTTGTTCTTCGTCTCTTGCTGTTGTTGTTTTTGTTTCCCATTTTCGCATTATTTTCTTTCTGGTGGTTGTCTTCCTCTTCTCCTTCCTCTTCTTTTTCCATTTCTTCTCCTTCCTCTTCTTCTTCTTCTTCTTCTTCTTGTTCTTGTTCTCGTTCTTCTATCCCCCTCTTCTTTCCCTTCTCTTCACTTACGTTGTTCTTGATCTTGGTCTCGTTATTTTTCTTGTTTTCGTTCTTCTTTTTCTTCGTTTTCTTGTCGTTGTTGTTGTACTTCTCCTTCTTACCTCTTTTCTTTTTCGCACTCTTACTATTCTTCTAGTTTTGCTTCTTCTTTCTTTTTTCTCCCTCTTTTTATAATACTCCTTATTCTTCATTTTTTGGCTCTACGTCTTTATTATCTTCTATTATTTTTTCTTCTTCTTCTTGTTCTTCTTCTTCTTGCCTTCGTTATTCTTGGTCTCGAACTTATTTTCGTCCTTTCTTTTCTTCGTGTTCTCCTCTTGCTTCTTACTCTTTTTTTTTTCTTTACTCTTCTTCATCCTCTTTTTCTTAGTGATCTACTGCAAGCCTCCTCTTTTTTTCCGACTTTCTCTCCATCATCTTCATTTTGCCTTCTTGTTTTTCCCCCTCATCTTCTTTCGTTGACACTCTTCTTTATCCTCTTTTTCCTTTTTCCCTCTTCCCCTTCTTCTTCTTCTACCCTATTCTTGTTATTTAATTTTTCTTATTATCACTTTCATTAAATCCATTATTAGGATAATTTAGTATAGTCTAAATGGTCTCATTCTTAAAACTGCTTAAAACCTAAGCCTCGTGTGATCTATAGACCACTTTCATAAATGGCTGCCGGATTAAAATTCTTTTGTTTACATCAAGAGCCATTATGGCTCTTGTTTACATATAAATTTGCCTGGGTGGTCTCGTTCTCCAGTACAAAATTCAAAAGAATGCATTATCTCAAGCAAAGCCACTCGGGAAAATTTAAATTTAAACAAAAGAATATTAATCCGGCAGCCATTTATGAAAGTGGTCTATTACAAACGTAACGCGGAAGTGAAATTTCTAGAATACTTCTTGAATAATGCTACAAGTAATGATATGCATATGGCCTCCCAAAGAAACTGGATCAACCGTCTGAGTTGTCCTATCTGGATTCTAAAGTTCTTAAACGCCGTCTTGAGCTTGTCAGATATGTATTTTTAACGTGAGCAATATGTTGACTCGCGAAATTCTTAACTCAGACACCCTAAAGCTTCTGATTCATTAACACCCGTAAAACACAGGCACTATGCTACTAAGCACCAACGGTGGGCTGGTGATACTTATAAGGTAATTGAAAAAAATTGGACTCCCTAGGTGCTCAATGGGTCACACTTACTAAAATTTAATTCACTGTTGACCAAATGAAAAAAATTAAAAAGAAATTCCGAAATATTTGCTATTAGAACTCGCGCTACTTAACTGAACCAGAGCTATTAAATTTTTTTTTTTTAATTAACTGCAAAATTTGTCATCCTCTTACTTTATACTTTCAAACGGTTACGTTTTTTGATACTCTGTGTTATGATATAAACTCTGGTCACAAAACATCTTAATATAGTCTAATATATAGAATAATCCAGCAACTTGTTGTCTAACAGAAAGGCTACTCCAGCGTATTTAGATTGGGTTTCTTCTTTTGTTACATACATTAGTTAGTTTTTTTAAAAAACAATTCTCTGTGAACCACTAAATTTATTTTGTAGGATCTATTGTGTTTCTTCTTAGAGTGCTCAAAATTACAACTTTCCTAAGTTCGTAATAAGAGTTAATCACTCTTAACTTTATTTACCTAGTAATTTCTATGAAAACTGGTCAATGTGCGTAACTATGTGAAAATGTGTCGAATAATTTGAACCTTTTAGACTTTCAAACCTTACACTGTGAACTAATGACTATTAAGACCAACTTCAAGTAAGAGTATAACACGACCATTCCTCAGAATTGCCAGTGCGTTTGAAATTTTACCCTTCCTAGACTACTACTACTGCTACTCAAGGACACACCTTTAAAATATAAACGTTGATTTTACCTGTACTATTACACAGCAAGGCAAAGTGGAACATTCCAGCCACAGGAAGAAAAGTGTACCCAACTTAGCACTCAGTAGATAAAATAAGACAGACTTTCAAAGTAAACTTTGATGATAACCACACTTAGTCCGGTGAAAAAAGACTCAAGCAGTCGGTGCAACAGAGGTGGCATTAGCTATACGTATTTCTACTTAATTCATGTTCAAATCACAGATTGCAACTTATTTTACATTAAAGCACATCCCAAATCACTTTTTTTAGATATTGCCTTCGCCTCCTTTTGCTTTTCTTCCAGCGGAATAAGCTCATCTAGTAACTTTGGAATTTCTTGTTCTTCCTTTATTTTGGTGAACATTTGAGCTTTCTTCTTGAAATCTTCGAAGGCTTTCACCCGATCTCTCCAGCCAGGTCGTGCTTCTCTCTTCTCGTTCTTGATCAGAAGTTCAATGTACTGTACTTCTGTGAGAGGATTAGGTTTTAACGCAATTTCATCTAAGCGTTTGAGGGACATCCTTACTTTGTACATGTCGGATAGCACGTCGATCCTTAATTGTTGCAGACACCTTTCCAATTGGATGAGCATGCCTTCTACTTTGGACTTCCCTGAAACGGCTTTGTCGTACTTTTCCTTCAAGTCGCGAGACGTTCTTTTCTCTTTGACCGTATGGTATTTAATCAAGTATGGCACATTCTTATGCTTTACCCAGCTACACTTTCCAGAGCATACTCTACAGTTCCCACTCAAGTTCATAGCGACACACTGTGCCTTCCTCTCATTGTCTGCAATTTTGCAATCTTCGTGGCAGGTAGTATTGCATGTCAGGCAGGTAGTGGTGTGTCTTCCAGTATCTTTGAGGGGGATTTCTTCTGCTTTCAGGACTGGAACATAAAACTCAAACTCCTTGCTATGTTCAATTTCTGCTTCATGTTGCTGCAAAAATAGCTTCTCTTGTCTCATTGTTTCAATTTTTCCGAGTCCCTGCTTTATTTGGGGGTTGAGACCTTCTATAAGGACCTCCAAACGATCTCTTTCTTTCAAAACCTCATTTGTAAGCTGGAGACTGACGCTTTCGGCCTTCGCGAACTTTTCAAAGAAATTCTTGAATGATTCACGACCCATTTCCCAGAAAATTTCGTCGAAGTTTAGTGCATTTGTATTCTTGGCGAAGAGAGCTGAATTATTGAATTTAAAGTAGCCCTGATAGGATATCTTACCTTCCCTGATAGCGTCTAAAACATGAGGGCTTTTTCCATCTGCAAAAGTGCACATCATGAAAAAATTGTTTTGAACATCCTTTCCAAAGATGGACAGAATAGAATCAAAAATGTATTTCTGTGTTGGAGTAAGGCGCGCTTGCGAAGCCTGTGTAACGAACCCAATCCCATCTAGATGATCAATTCCATTAGGAGGCTTCAAAGAAAAAAATTCTCGGACTTGGTTAGTGATGCTTACATCTCGGTTCAATCCTCTGGTGTCGCCAAAACCAGGAGTGTCGATGATTGTAAAAGTGTAAGGGATGTTAGAACCTTCTAATGGATGGATAGTGTAGGCAGTAATTTCTTTTGTTACACTTTCATGTTGAGAAGTAACCTTCTCGGTTATTAACTTGAATCGAAAGTCGTCCTTCCATTGAACTCCCATGATGAAGTTGATCATGCCATTGATTAGAGTGCTCTTCCCAGCTCCAGTAGCTCCCATCACCAAAAGTACTTTTTCTCGTCGGTCCTTCAGAGTATACATTGATTCACAGTCCTGATCGTCTTTAAGGCATTTTCGGACAATCATTTCCTTGTCTAGCCTCAAAGTCTCGTCCATTGAAAGCTTGTACACAGGAACAAATTCGTCCTTTTCAAGAGCGATCTCTTCACAATGATGTCGCATTTTCTGTGCTAATGTAAGAGCAGGTAATTTGGGCAGTTCCTCTTGATCTTTAGATTGATCTTCAATCGAACGCATTGCATTGCTTGACTGATTATCAGAAGAAACATTTTTGATCGAAGTTAGATCCTTGTGCCTCTCGCGACAAAACCCATCTTTCGCAAAAGAATGATATCCAGCGGAGTGAGCCGCGAGTTTTTGTGAAGAGATAGACTGATCTTCACTTCCTGCCTCATATGCGATAAATCGAATTGATTCATGCGGCCCAGATGGGATTTGTTTCACTTTGGTTCTGACGTTTCTCCTCTCATTGTTGGTTCTTGCAAATACCCCTTGATTTGTTTCTTGTAAGTTTAGATTCAGTTGCCTCGCTGGGGAAAGCGCATCTGTATCTGTGTATGAGCCACCACACCTTGTATCATCAAATTGGGTACTGCTGTTCTGCTTGGATGTCGTTATTTTTGGGCGGATAGACTCAGCACTATCACTTAGTGTTAATGTGTGCAGTAGGATAGTCTCAGGCTTGAATTCGACTTCTTGACCGTCCTGAAACATCTTGATAACTGCAATCTTGTCATCTTTTCCTTGACTACTGATGTTAGTTACTACAAAGTTAGTACTGCTGTCACTTTTTGAGGACTTTGCAAGGCTACTGAAAGTTCTGGCTTGGGTCTTGAGCTCTTTTAGTGACTCGCCAATTTCAAACCAGCTTTTTTGACCAAGAGGCTTCTTGTTCCACTTACCAGTGCGAAGGTAAGTTCCCATCTCTTGAATTTGTTCGTCTTGAAAGTCGTCTATCATAAACGAGAAGCACACAACTCTATCATAATCAAGGGAATTGACGACACTATCGAGCTGGTCTGGTTCGAAGGCAAATTTAAAATCTTTGAAACTCTCAAGGTACATTGATAGCAAGTTAAGCTCTCTCTTGGTTTTATCAACCCATGAAGACAGATAGACTTCATTAAATGGCGTTGCAACTGTTTTCTCTAACATCGCTGTAATCTGTTTCATCTCGGCATCTCCGCTTCTGACATTAAGGAGTAAATTAGAGAGATCCTTCTTGAGTGCACTCGTGTATTGAGATACCATTGCATGGAACTTTGAAATCTTCTTTTGGATGCTTGAAAATTGTGAAAATGCTTTATTCGTGGTAAAGCCATTGACTCGACCGTTGATGTCTGCAAAGTTCTCCAAAATCTCTTGCACTTGAGAAAGTATTCCTGATTCAGTTTCTGTTACATGTCGTGCAGCTTCAATATCTACAGCACTCAGTGGGAGTAAGCATGCCTCGATGGGTACCACGGACTCATGGTGCTTTCTTAGTTTCTTTAAGTGCATGAAGGCTTCTCCAAGACTAATAGGGCTTTCTTGAAGGAAGGTATCGCCATACATCGTACAAGTAAGCTTTTCAGCTTCTTCTTTATCCATTTCTGGTATTTCGTCCAAGTTTGGCAAAGATTCAATGAATTCCTGCATATCTCTCATCACATAACCATAATTCTCGTAACGTTTTACCTCCCGATCGAAAATGAAGAAGTCTTTAGAGCCATATAGAAGTCTCGAAACAAAGTGTGTGGCATTGTTTACTTCATCGCCATTCTTTAGGGGAACGCTTTTTAAAAGTTCAGTATCAACTTCTTCGACCTTAGATGTTTTCTCGCATATCAGTGTTATTCTTGCTATACCTTGCTGCTCTTTGGGTAATATATTTTCAAAAAAACTGGCGGCGTAGTTTGAAATATTGGCGAGGCCTGTAAGAACACTTAATTTGAAATTACCTTCAGCTTTCATCATTTCCATTTTAACAGGAAGGCTCCCCCCTTTGAAAACTTTATATCGAGATCCTGATTGGTCACGGCAGACCAGGGCGTTGGTTAGAATGTCTGAATCCAACATGGTTGTGTCTGGAATAAGGCAGTCACGTCTACAGTCGTAGAACATAGCAAGTTGGAATGGCCGTCCAAGACAAGGGATTTCCAGAACCCCATTTGTACCCATGTTTCTATGTATAAAGTTAACATATATTTTAGCAATGAATCACTAAAAATACTTTCCGATGAGGCCTTCAACATTGACAAACTACCCCAGGATTGAAGATTCTTTAGATCTTGAAAAGCACAAAAAAAATTCTCAGGTGACATTAATATGGTTACGTAGTCAGAACGGCATCCGGCCCTTCCGTTGAGTTATATGATATTACAGGGCAACGTACAAAGATATATACTACCATGTTGAAGATCTCCCTCATTCAATTTAGGTCCGTAAATGATAAGATTTGGGTCAATCAGAGCGCCTCTCGGCTTTCCATTTTTTGTTTGTATATTTTTGTTTATGTTTGTTAAATTTTGTGCTTGTCTTTTGCTTTTGTTGATGCTGCTCTGTTTTGTTTTAAGTATGAGCCAAGCTAATACCATTGCTTCTCCTTATGGATGGAAAAAGAAAACCCGCCAAACCAATTATTGCTTACAGCTTTGAGGCGATTCATTTTTTAATTTGACTNCTCGAACCCTCGACCTCCCGCACAACAGTCCAGCGCACTATCCATTGATCTAACTGGGCGGCGGTTTGATAATAAGCGCGAGTTATTTTTTCAAAGGCAAACGAAATTACAGGAGTCCTTAGGACAACTATTCATCAAAGTAATACACATGTACATGATTTAGTTTTAAGCTGAAATACCCCGGATATGGATCAGTTGGCCAAAAATAATGTTATTCACCGTAATTCAAGCTGACTTAAGCTTAATTAAGCTCAATTGGCCTTCGTAACGATTACAAAAGCTGACGTTTCGAGCGTTCGCCCTTCGTCGGAGCGAATAGAGGAATTGTGGGTTGCGTGTGCTTTTAAAGGCAGAAAATGGAGCGACTTACTTTTCTTTAGAAAGTAGAGACGTAAGAGAGTCGCTCCTCTGTGATATCCGCGTCAGATGTCCAACCTGACATGAACAAAGAAATGAAAGAGTCATTGGAGTCAATGACAATAACATAAATTAAATCAGATAATCTTCGTTGATGGATAGCACACCAAAATAAACAATTTACCGGTACATACACGACATCAACTCCCAGCGGTGTCATGAAAAGTGAATATCAGCGAGTCACGATCATTAAACTGTAACGTTCGTGATTTGAATCCTTAGTATTTCAAAAAGTGTCGTGAAGATACTGAAAAAATTATAATTGCAATATACAAAATAATATAAATTTTTTTTGGATAGGAGTCATGAAAAATTTGCGCACCTTTAAATCTCCTTGTTCATGTTATTGAAAAGTGTGAACCTTCCAAACATTAGCGACAGGACTGAGTGTTATATCTAGATTACAATTACAAGTTAATTGGTGAAATGAGCTTCAAATCACTCAAAAAGATAAGAAAATATATTTTGCAGCTCTCTGCTCACAAAGTTTAATCATCTGACCCTGTTCAATGACACAACAAGATCAACTTTCTTAAAGTTATAATCTTCAGTAACTATACTAATAAATTATCAGCTGGTCAATCTCTGTAAACAGTATATAGCTTGTTTCGTCATTTCAAGTCTGCTAAAGATCAGCAAAAATCAGTTAACGTGAACGGAAAGAAAATACAATGTTGACGCAATGGAATTTGCGATGCGCACTGGCCGTATCAGTTTGAAACAAACTGATTTTAGGTTAACAATTTAGGGCGCTGTTATTTGTTGTTGGTTAGCTTTAATAACCTTTTGTAAATACTTTTAACGGGTTATGCACAAAGATTTCAGAATTTGCGTTCATTCTTGCATAATATTGATACGTTTTCTCTCTTTAGGTATTCAGTTTTAAATTTTGGCTCATTATAAAGGATAAAGGAGGTTCGGCTGCCCTTTTTTTACAGATCCACTCCCAGTAACACGACCTCTTCTACGAGATTTGAGCAATGTGTTTGTTATACGCCTAGAAATTTGTCATCTGGTGTTAAACTTTGTTGTGACGCGAGTTATTCCCAGAAATTTGGCTAAGCGTGACAGCTGTCAACATTTCTCGGAAACTGAATTTTTTTCATTCTCGTTTCTCGAATTCCTTTTATCGTTTTTGATTGCAAACACCGTATCAATATTCATCTTTTCGGAAACTTTCTTTCGAAAGAGTATGTTCCAAGTCATCTTAATGTTATTCGCCGTTTCTTGTTAACATAAGAGAATGCACAGAACAGAGCACAATCAAGGCTTCCTTGACTAATAGACGCTTTCATTTTCAACACATCTAAAGCGGGCGTCCATGATTATCAGTACCCTCTCAAAAAAAGAAGCCAGAAAAATCGATCGAAAATTTTGACTAACGAGTCAGCAGTTGCCAATCACAAAATGAACTTCAGGGAAACTTACGGTTTCGATCCAAGAACGATTACTCAAAAAGGTTTTTTTGTTTTAGAACTGCGGAATTAAGTTCTCATATTCAGTGCAATCCGGCCTAGTTGCGTGTCGACAAAAAGCTTACTTTTCCAACCTTTTCGCACTGACTATACAAGGAAATCAAAGCTTGCTGATGAAAGAGCGATGCGTCGGATTCAATTTGAAAGGAACAAAAGTTGTATTGATTTATCTGACCACTGCTATTGGAACTCTACGGAGCTCTACCCACCGTATAAACTGCTATGTAACAATTGAAGTGTTGCCGGGAAGTAACACGCTTTCCAGCGAAGAGAAGTTGCCCCGCTTTAAAAATATATCTGCCTTTCGAAACTAGAGGACCTGGTTGGTCCACGAATTTTTACCCTGACGAAGTATTTCTGATCATGAGTGTTGAGAACCTCGAACCAACATGAAAAATGATCGGTGACGAAGATTATTTGCGATGGATGAATCAAGTTCACCGATGATCCCTCGAATTTGTTTTTCAAATGAAAATCTTCCGTCTAAAGTTCAAGTCTTTCAAATACAACTCTTGCTTTTTCTTTTAAATTCATGTTTGTCTATGATTAACTGAGCCCCAACTTCTTCATCTAGCCTATCTAAATGTTTTTCTCTCCGCATCAAACCCTTGTTGCTTAAGCTCGTTCCACTTGGTTAAATGGAATCGGAAAAGATTGCTACGTAGGCTACTGGAATTGCTTTAGTATGTGTGCGTTGGCAATGAAAGCTGGTTCGACGATTCAATTCGAACACATGATTATGAATCGTTTTTAACTTGAAATATTCAGCATATCGATTAGACGGGCAAACAAAATATCATTCACCGTAATTCAAGCTGACCAACTGAAGACTTACCTTCTAATTGTAAAGCAAAGAATTAAGAAAGTTGTTCATCAGCTATATCCGCGTCAGATGTTCAACTTGAAATGAAAAAAAACATTGGAATCAACTTAAGTGAGTAAATTCAATCAAAAGAGTTCTCTTTGATGTATTTCACTGACAGAAACTAGGTGGATTCCCAACGGCCTGAAGGAGAAGAAAATGTAAGCGAGTCACCTTCATTAAATGTGTGATGTTCGTGATTTGAATGCTGAACATTACAATATGTTTTGCGAACTCTNAGCTTCTGACGCGGAGCAGATTACATCATACTTAAGGAAGTCCTGATTACACGATACAACAACTATTTCTAACATACTATCGGATAAATAAGACTGAAGCTTGTTCTAAAACATCAGTTGATTACGTTCAAAAATATTAATTTCCAGTAAGGAGGGTTACAACGTTGATGCACATCAGTTTGAAGTGGTGATGGTGCAAAAATGTTTACATCTCAAGGAAGAACGTTTCAAGGTCTTCTTCGGGAGCTTTTTCCTCTGGTTTTTTGCCTTCTTCGTCTTCTTTGTTTTCATCTCTGTTATCGTCCTGTTCTTCAATGTCGTTCATTTTGTCTTCGTCATCTTCAAACTCTCCTCCTCTTAAGTGTTCGTTTTCCTCTTCACCTGTTTTTAAGGGAGAAAATAGTTTCACACTAACCATGCCTCTTTTAACTATTTTAAATGTATGCTGCATTCCCAGAGAGCCTTGCGAGCCGTACATAAGGGAAGGCGGCAGTTAGCGTCTTAAGGTTGATGTTAACTTTTTTTGTCGTTGGAGCAGCATAAGGAAACTACACTTGGATGCTGTCCATTTTCGACCATGCCTGTTTTGACCGTTTTTAATTTAATGTATGTTGCACTCGCAAACATAAATAGTTGGGACTGAACGACTCTTTCATGTTATCTACCAGAAAGCAGTGAGAGCTAGGAAAGAAGGCAGTAAGTGTCTCAACAATTGTTTCTGGGAATGTGAATCCTCGAGTGATATTACTAATAAGATCTTTAAAACTAAGACCTTGTTAAGTAATGGGCTCGTAAAGTTGTAGGTATTGAACCGTATATCAATCAAAGATGACCATCTTTTAAACTTTCTTTCAGTCTATTTCAAAGTTTTCATTGAAATGTTATATATACCTTGACAACGGTTGCAACTCTTTCGGCAGTTCTTAGACATGTAGTTAGCATACTTTCCGCGGCAATA